GAGTTCAACTTCGCTTGGCTACACACGGTGGTGGGCAAGAGGAGTTCAACTTCGCTTGGCTACATACGGTGGTGGGCAAGAGGAGTTCAACTTCGCTTGGCTACACACGGTGGGCAAGAGTTCAACTTCGCTTGGCTACACACGGTGGGCAAGAGTTCAACTTCGCTTGGCTACACACGGTGGGCAAGAGTTCAACTTCGCTTGGCTACACACGGTGGGCAAGAATTCAACTTCGCTTGGCTACACACGGTGGGCAAGAGGAGTTCACCTTCGCTTGGCTACATACAGTGGTGGGCAAGAGGAGTTCACCTTCGCTTGGCTACATACGGTGGCGCGCAAGAGGAGTTCAACTTGCGTGCGACTGTACAGGAACCCTGCCAGGAATGGAACTCGGCTCTCCGGGTTTGCAGCAATCGGCTCAATAACGCCACCACGCCACCACTCCGCTGATGCGTTGATAATAATTTAGGTGTTTGCAGCGTCAATAAATGCACCCGCGCCTTGAGTTACTTGACGAGAATGAGACACAAGGAGAGAGATAGAGAAAGGGTTGGGGTCGGAATTCATATTCTTTGGGTCTTTCGGTAAAATTTTAGATTTAAAGCTTTCGTGACTGCAGGGATTCATATTCTTGGTTCTTTCGGTAAAGTCACCACGGAGAAGGGAAACAATAAAATAATAAAACCACAGCTGTGGTTTTCACACCTGATGATGAGTGCTTGTTGTGTTGCAGTCGAAACGTCGTGAGAATTTTATCGGTTTATATTTTGTTTCCCTTCTTTCGGTAAAGTCACGTAGATAGGTTCAAAGAAGAAACTACGACGTTTCGATCACAACACAAGGCCCGATTTCTGTCTTACAACCATCGACTGGTAGGACCTCCTTGGCTGTACTCAACTCAGCTCACTTGGCATCGTTAATTAAGGACACCTCACTATCTCCAGGTGATTTGCTCGTTAGTTTCGATGTGGTCTCTTTGTTTACCAACGTTCCTGTGCCCGACACCCATTGCAATCATTGAAGATTTGGTCCAACAAGGAGGACTGAACGCCGATGTGCCGGTCCTGGTGAGACACTGCCTCACCAACACTTACCTCACCTGGGATGGAACATTCTACAAATAAGTTGAAGGTACCCCAATGGGTTCTCCCTTATCTCCAGTTGTAGCCCAATGTTTTCATGGAAAATTTTGAGACGGATGCCATCCAGGCATCCAGTCTACGTCCGTCCTTGTGGAAGAGGTACGTGGATGACACACGTTTGTCATCTGGCCACATGGCCGACCAGCTCTGAAGCAATTCCTCAACCACATCAATTCCATACACCCAGCCATCAAATTCACCATGGAGGTGGAAAAGGATGGCAAGCTACCATTCTTGGATGTTTTAATTAAAAGGAGACCAGATGGCTCAATGGGACACTCTGTCTACGGGAAAGCCACCCGTACGGATGCCTACCTAAAACCTGACTCCCACAACCATCCTCCTTCCTAGAACCGTTGGGAAAGAACCATCTCAGGACCCAATCAAAACCATCACCTTGCCATACACAATAGGGGTCACCAAAAATATCTCCAAAATCATGAGCAAACACAAGATTCCAGGCTCGATTTAACACAGTACATAAAATTTGTAATCTGATACCATCCGTGAAGGACAAGATCCCTGACGTGCAATATCCCGGCGTCTACAAACTACGCTGTGCCTGCGGCAGTAGTTACATTGGGGAAACTAAGCGACGTGTCTCGGACCGTGTTCGTGAACATAAGGCAGATCGGAAACACGGTAGGATCAATACTTCGGTCGTGGCTGTTCATTGTTTTAATGCGGTGGGCTCACACGAAATTGATTTCTCTAAGGCGAAGGTACTGTGCAAACCCACTAGCTATCAACAAAGATTCGTTCATGAAGCCATCCGTATTGACAGACACAACTTAAATCGAGACGATGGGTATAAACTGAGCAATCATTGGAAGGACGTTATCAACCAGTTTAAATCATAACTGGCTGTGATGTTCCCAACCCACCACCCTCACATTAACATGTCAATCTCTCACATTAACATGCTAATCTCTCACATTAACATGCTAATCTCTCACATTGACATGCTCATCTCTCACATTAACATGCTAATCTCTCACATTAACATGCTAATCTCTCACATTAACATGTCAATCTCTCACATTAACATGCTCATCTCTCACATTAACATGCTAATCTCTCACATTAACATAACTAGCCCTGCCCACTTCGTCTATGACCCTTGGGCTGCACCCATTTTAAACCTTTAAAACAGTTGGCCGCAGCAGCGTCCCCCTCTTTCTTATTCCTGATGACGACCGCTTGTGTCGCGATCGAAACGTCGTCGTTTTTTGTTATTTTTTTTGTTATCTTTGAACCTATCCACGTGGCTTTACCGAAAGACCCAAAGAGTATGAATTCCTGCAGTCACGAAAGCTTCAAGTCAAGCTTTGGGGGGGGGGGGACTTGTTGGATGGTATGGGGCACGGTCAGGGCAACACGGGCGAGAGGAGAGACAGAGCAGCAACAGCACAGCCCGGGAACAACCAACCAGGGCCCAGCACCGACAACAACGACAACAACAGCCCCGGTGAAAGCTGGGGCAGCCCCAGCAGCACGAGGCCCCATGCCCCACTCACTCCCTCCCCGTCTCTCACCTGCGGGACGACTTGTGTCGGCTGCTGCCGCTGCCGCCCGCGCTGCTCCCTCCTCCGCCTCCTCCGCCTCCTCCCACTCCTCCGCCTCCTCCTCCTCCTCCGTCGTCTTTGTCGCGGTGGCGCCTGTCGCGGTGCCGCTCCTCCGTGTCTCGGCTCCCCCCGCCGCCGCCGCCGCCGCCGCCGCCGCCCCCCCGGTCGCGGCTGCTGTGCCGCCGCTCGCGCTCGTAGCTTCGCTCGCGGTGCTCTCTCTCCCGCACGTCGCCGCGGTGATCCCGGTGCTCGCGCGCCGGCTCCCGGTGCTCGCGCTGCTGCTGCTGCTGCTGCTGTTGTTGTTGCTGCTGCTGCTGATGTTGTTGTTGTTGTTGCTGTTGTTGTTGCTGCTGTTGCTGCTGCTGTTGTTGTTGCTGTTGCTGCTGTTGCTGCTGTTGCTGCTGCTGCTGTTGCTGCTCGCGTTCGTACGAGCGCTCCATCTCGCGCTCGCGCCCGAACTCGCGCGTCTCGCGCTCCCAGTAGCGGAAGCGCTCGTCCTCGCTGCCGGGCCCACGGTGGTGGTGGGGTGGGGGGTGGGGGGGTGGGCGAAGGAGACGACGGGGAGACGACGGTGAGGGACGACCGGCACGCGGTGATGACGGGCAGGCCCCTGTGGGTTTCGCTCCGTCGATGACTTTAAGATTACCACGATGCGTTGGCCTAAGGCCGCTGCCCAGATTAGTCGAGCGCTGGGTTGCGCGCGGTGGGGCGAGGTGTGGGTAAGCCCACCTCTTGCGAGACACGTCGTGTCCAGCGTGGGACGGTAGGCCACAGCACCCTCTAGGGCAGCGGTTCACAAACTTTGAGTGTGCGGGACCCACTTTCCAACCTCCAAACATTGAGCGGACCACTGCGAGCCACTACCAGCTGTTTGAAATTGTACATTCCCTTTGTGAGAACCGCTGCTCTAAAAGGGGGACCCCCCCCCCCTCCTCTGCTCAAGGTGCTCTCCAGAAACTCCCACGACATTGGAGGCCCTTCCGTCAGCAGTGGAGCAAGCGGGCAGTTGCGGGGGCTGCCCCCCCCCCCCCCCCCGTAGATGCTCGCCGGCGTGTTGGCTCGCAGCAGCAGGTGTGGGGGATAACCGAGAGGCGACGTTATGTATGGCTACTCCGGTTAGTACGGCCCCTTGCCAACCGCGAGGCGTCGCACTGGGGAAAGGCCCCCGGGCGAATTACATTGACCATTTATCCTAGGGGGAATCTGACGAGCCAAAAAGCTCTGTTCCACAGATGTCCAGCAGGGGCACAGGCTCGGAACGTTACAACAACAAACGATGCAAAAAAACACACCATCGCAGTAGAAAGTTATAGGAAAGGTAAACGACATGAAAAAATAAGAGCAGTTTTTTTTTTACCCCTTCGGGCAATAAAACCGGAGGTGTTAAGATGTCCAAACAGCAAATAGAAAACCTTTAGCAAGGAATCAAGTTACTGCAATAACCACACACACACACAAGTGCTTGGTGGTGAACATGCAAATAAAACACGTGGCTCTGATAATATATTGGCATTGTCTTTGACGCTGATTGGCCTACACCCGAGGCGGCAGCCTCCTTCATGACCTAAGTCTCACTACCAGTGTCAGACCAGAGAACAATGACAAAAGGCGAACACAGTACAAAGACAATGCTACGCAAGTATCAGAGCAAGTATCGCTCGGGTTGAGGAGTTATGCCTGATATGTGTATATTTGTTTTTTTTACCAGGTAAGGCCCAATGAGCTACACAGCTATTTCTCAGAAGCGACCTGACCACAACTAAGTGCATTATCACGTGAAAGTTTAGAGCTTTATACACATACACAGAAGCCAAATACTCTAAAGCGCCTATTTTGAAATGTGGTTTTTAAAACCGGAGGACCAGGGGAAAAATCCATGTCACCAAGATGCAAATTCCAAATATGCATTTGTCAAGGACGGCATCGAACTCGCGACCTCCCGTATACCAGGCGAGACGGATAACAACTCGCCACTGTGACACGCAGAAAGGATCAAACCTATTCTTATTTTTTCATACTTTGATACTGGCACAAAGATCCATTTTTTTAAAAGTAAACGAATCGTATTAAAATATATACAGTAAAACCTTGGATTGCGAGCATAATTTGTTCCGGAAACGTGCTAGTAATCCAAAGCACTCGTATATCAAAGCACTCGTATATCAGTTGTGATCACGTGATGCTGGGCAGTACAAAGCGTATATACGTACTACCACTCGTATTGCAAGAACCTCGCTCGTTTATCAAATTTATATTTATTTTAAAAAAAATTTGCTCGTCTTGCAAAACACTCGCAGACCAAGTTACTCGCAATCCAAGGTTTCGCTGTACAAATTATATCGCTGCACACATCCTATTTGCAGCTTCCTCGGCCAGAACATAGTACGAGGTCTCCAGCTTTACCACACACAAACCTCTTCTGTCACCGCACGGGCCCTTCGTGCGGTGACAGCGATTCTAACCACACGTGGACAAAAAAATACACAGCAGGAGAAATGTATGTGCGTATGTGGAATTCCTTTCGCACCGCACGTAGCCCACCGTGCTAACCGGAGGTGCGGGATAACTAGGAAAGCAATGAGAGACATGCAAACTCCAAATATACAGCAGCAGCAGCAGCAGGCGTCAGGGTCGTGATCGAACCCACAACCTCCTGCGTACCAGGAGAGGGAGATAACATCTCCTAGCCACTGCGGTGCCCCCCCCCCCCCCCCACTTGCACACGTAACATAAATTTGACCAGATCATGAAACGGTTGTCTGGCTTGACCACTTGAATTTTAAATTGTAGTTGTTGCTCTGCACCTCCATCAGCCAGTACGCAAGATGAAGAATTACATGGCCCAACTAAGAAAAACTATCTGGTGTGAATCAGTCCATGGAAGCGCTCGGTTGCGAGGGTGAATCGTTGCTGCCGGTCACAAGGACAAATATCCCCCCGTATAGCCTCAACAGACTGTTGGGGCAAGTGCTGTTAGCGAGCACCTATTAATGCCGGCACGGCACACGAGGGGGTGGGTGGCCAGCACCACGCCGGGCCGCCTTTGTCTCCCCCAGTGGCGATGTTTACTACACACCGCACCAGGTACTCATTTGAGGCTGAGTCGACCTAGGGGAGGCCCAGGACCGGTTCAAATAATCCTCACTGGCGTTGGTCGTCAGCGGGAAGCGCTGCTCGTCAGCCACGCATGCACACACGCACGCGGGCATGTGTACGCACACGTGCACGCACACACACGCACGCGGGCATGTGTACGCACACGTGCACGCACACACATGCACGCGGAACAATAGGCAGCACTTAATGCATTGGAAGAGGCACTCCGAGAAAAAAAACCACGCACGCAGACGCGCGCACGCACGCACCACCACCACCACCACCGCCGCCAACCCCAGCAAATGACGCTTTTGTGGAAGCAATTACCCCATTTTCCACACTTTTCAATTATCTCTGCAAACGGAAACCTTAATTGGGCTCATTATTTCATTAAAACACTGGCAAATAGTGCTATAAATTGGCTTACATTGTGTATCAAATAGTCGGGCGGTTGTTAACGCTTTATGTAAATGCATTGTGAGGGCCTGGGGAGGGAGGGGCAGATTTGACAAAAAAATAATACGGGTGCGCAAATGCCCCCCTAATATTATTAAATTATCTCACGCAATTAAATCCCGAGTCGCCGGTTCCGCTATTTAGCGCGAGTGACGACCCCTTTACTCGTCGCAAACCATGCTAAGACTCACACTAACAATCACACCTACACTCACACCTACACAAACACTCACACTAACACCTACACAAACACTCACACTAACACTCACACCTACACAAACACTCACACTAACACTCACACCTACACCTACAACAACAACCGCCATTCGCCACTAAGTGGCGGTGACGTCACCACGACGCTTGTGCCAGGCTATGTGCACCCTGAGGCCACGGGAAGTGTCGAACGCCCGCTGGCAGGAGGTCACGGGGCAGACCCAGGTGCCACGGGTCGACTGACTGAGATGACTGGCTGATGCACCACCTGTGCCCCCTACTGTGCCAACCTGCTGTGCTTTAGCCACCCGGCGCTCCGCTCGTTGTTCTGAGCGTCGCTCCTCTGCCCTCCGTTGTTGTTGGAGGGCGACTGCCTCCAACTGCCCAGTAGCGTCCTTCACGAGCCTCCTCCACAGAGGCCGATCTTGACACCGCTGGTACCAGTCATCGGCAAGTCCACTCAGCTCCACGTCCTCCTGTACCACATCACTCCATCTCTTCTCTAGCCTGTGCCGCGCCTGCTTAGCCCCCTCAATCCGGCCGAACAAAAGCTGTTTCGGCATGCGGTGGCTGGGCATGCGGGCTACATGACCCAGCCATCGCAGCCTTCCCCGCCGGAGGAGCTCACCGATGGGACCTTGCCCAGTTCTTTCAAGGATTTGTGAGCTCCTCACACAATCCAGTCTGGTTAAACCCAGGATGGATCGTAGGCAGGCCAGCCTAAATGTTTCTAACCGGCGAAGATGTTCCATTAGAGGGGTCCACGTTTCGCAAGCGTACAGAAGGGAGGGAATGACCGTGGCCGAGAAGACCTGAAGCTTAGTGCGGAGCGACAGACCAGGTAGCTTCCACACAGCGTTACGCAACCGATGAAAAGATATTGCCGCTCGACTGATTCGGAGTGAGACCTCTGCTGTTAAACTGGAGCCAGTCATAAGCACACTGCCCAGGTATGGGAAACTCTCCACTCTCTCCACAACTGCCCCATCACCGATTGGGAGTTGTGGGGGTGGAGTGTCCGATGGTACAGGTGCTTAGTTTTGGTGGGGCTGATGGTAAGGCCCCACCTATTAGTGGCACGCTCCAGTCTCAGCAGCAGCGTCTCCAACTCCTCCTCTGAATGAGCAGCTATTACCAAATCATCAGCATACATAACGTGGTTGAGCAATAGGGAGCCATCCCTTGACCGCACCCGGGCATCGATCAGCCTCCCATTATATCTGTACCATATGGAGATTCCCCCGGTACAGCTATTGAAGGCTTCACGAACTACGTGGTCAAAATAGATGTTAAACAATGTGGGAGCCAGAGGACATCCCTGTCGCACCCCAAGGTGCACAGGGAATGGCCCCGACTCCCGGCCAGGTAGCTTCACCCGGGCCCGCTCACCATCATGAAGGTCCTCAATGATCGTGAGCAGAGGGTCAGGCACTCCAAAAGCACGAAGAACAACCCAGAGATCCCAGGCCTACTGATGGTATCATAGGCCTTGACCAGGTCAATAAAGCAGAGATGTAGGTCTTGTTGGAATTCCCCACACCTCTGCTGTAGCAGACGGACAGAAAATATGGCATCTGTGCAGGACCGCCTTTTCCTGAAACCGCATTGGGGCTCCGCAAGCCTCTCCTCAGCGTGCCTGGCAAGGCGATGCTGAATAATCCTTGCCAGGACCTTTCCCGGCACACTGAGGAGTGAGATGCCCCTGTAGTTGTTACAGTCTGTGCGGTCCCCCTTCTTAAAAAGGGGGACCGCCAGGGCATCCTTCCAATCCTGCGGAACCCGTCCAGTGGTCCAGACTGTTGTTATGATGTCATGTAGGGCAGTCTGTGCACAAACGCCACCCTCCCTCAGCATTTCGCTTGGGAGATCATCGCTGCCCGCTGCCTTTCCTGGTCTCAGACTCCGGATCGCCCTCAGTACCTCAACAGACGGCACCCCAGCCAGCCACTCACAGGGGGCAACCTCTTCCAATATTTGAGGCACCGCAGCCTCGGCAGGGTCATCCTCACCCTGTGCCACGATATTTTCCTGACTGAGGGACTTTCCCTCCCCCAGGACCTCACAGAAATGCTCAGCAAATCTGCAAACCCGTTCCTGGGGGTCGGAGATTGGATCACCGTCCTTTCCCCCAATGATGGCAATAGGTGTGGCGCTGCAGGTTACTTTTTTGATGGAGTAAAATAGAGATTTGTGATCACGGGCCACTGAGGCAGACTCCATCTCCTCAGCAACCCGCGACCACCACCCATCCTTGCAGCGCCTCACGGCTCTCTGAACCTCCGAGCGAAGGTTGCGGTAAGCCTCCTCATTCTCTGACGTGGGATTCTGTAGCCGATGACAGTGGGCCTGTCGCTTTTTCTCAACCATCCTGAACACCTCCTCTGTCAGCCAGGGTCTCTGGGGAGGTCTGGACCGCGTACCCAAAGCAGCCATTGCAGCTGCATGAGTCACAGTCCTAAACCTCGCCCATTTACCCTCGACATCAGGAGGAGTCGGGGACGATGCCAATCCCAGCACTCACACTAACACTCACACCCACACCTACACTCACACTAACACTCACACAAACACTAACACTCACACCTACACCTACACTCACACCTACACTAACACCCACACCAACACTCACACAAACACTCACACAAACACTGACACACACACAAACACAAACACTCACACAAACACTCACACCCACACAAACACTCACACCCACACAAACACTCACACAAACACTCACACCCACACAAACACTCACACCCACACTAACACTCACAACCACACAAACACTCACATCCACACTCACACCCACACTAACACCCACACAAACACTCACACCCTGACGCCTGTATATTTGGAGTGTTCGTGTTCTCTCCCCGTGGTCACGTGCACCTTTCTCCGGCCCCTCAGATCTTTCCCTCCACACTGAGAATCAAGGTGCTGTTTAGAATGTTTGGCTGCTGCTATAACCGGTCCACCACGATGAAAAGCCATCATTTGTGATGGCCAGGTCGCTGCTGACAAAGAGCCACATGAGCTCAGCAGGACCCTTACCTGGTTTTAGTTTCAGTTGAAGTGGCATCGCCTTGACGCGGCCGTCCACCGGACGATCCGGCGTTGCCACCTCACCGGCGTCATCTCGCCAGCGACGCTGCACAGTTCCCCACAACTCGTTCCCTCCCCACTCCACCCCAACCCCCCCCTCCTGCGCGTGGGCGCTCACCTGACGTAGCTGCTGACGGACGGACTGCGCGTGTGTCCGTCCCGGGACGTGGGCAACCGCTCCCGGTCCCACGGCGACGCCCCTCCGCCGGGCGGGCCCAGGCCTCCGGGGCCTCCGGGGCCTCCCGGGCCTCCTCCGCCTCCGCCTCCGATCCCTCCCACACCTCCGCCGGGGTTTCCGCCGGGGCCGCCGCCGCCGGGGCCGCCGCCGCCAGGGCCGCCGGGGCCGCCACCTGGGCCGCCGGGGCCGCCGCCGGGGGGGCCGCCCACCACCATGGCGCCGCCCTGGATGGGGCCCGGTTTGTCGACGGACGCTCCGGCCGGAGGGCCCCACGAGGGCGCGGGGACAGACACGGGCGGGTACGAGACTGGGGGGGGGGGCAGGGGGGCGTGGGGGGCGGGGGGGGGGCGTGGGGGGGCGGGGGGGGCGGCAGTCAGGGCATCGTCACCATCGTCGTCGTCATGAGTGTCATCATCAGCAGCGTCGTCGTTATCATCATCATGAGCACCATTTACATCAGTAACACTGGGAGTGGTACAAAATCATTTCCATCATCGTTATCGGCATCAGCAGCGTTGACACCACCATCATTATTAACACTGGGGGAATCATCATCAGCTGCAACAGCATCAGCAATATCAGCATCCGCATTATCATCATCAGCAGCACGAGCAATATCTCCAATAAGCATCATCCAGCATTACCACTAATTTCATCATCATTATCAGCAGCAGCGGCATCAACGCTATCAAAAGTGGCACCGTCATTCATAGCGCAATCATCATCACCACCACCACCATGAGAATAACCATCAGATGCCGACCACGCCGCCCAGATCTGCGTCGGCAAGGGAGTTTGCGACGTCAACGCATCCGTACCGGGAGCACAAACACAGCCGGCCACGAAGATCACGGGGAAACGAGCGAGCGTGACCGGAGCCCCTTGTTACACCCAAGCTACTCCCTCCACGCCGGGGGGAAAGGGGGCCGGGGGCGGCGGCCCCGCTCGTCACCGAACGGCGTAAACGCCCCGACGGCTTCGTCCGCCCGGGCGCAACGGGGCCACGGAGGAATCGAGCGGCGCGAAGCTCCAGGGCCTCTCGGTCGGGCCAACTCACCGACGGTGGAGTAGCCAAACGGCATGGGCGGGGGCCGGTTCGGGAAGCCTGGCGGGGGCCCGCTGAGGAGGCAAAACAAAAAGAACAAGAGCAGACGCAGCGGCGCGGGGTGAGGGTGGGCCGCCCGGGTAAACCGCCGTTCATTTTCGTTGAGATCGCGGGCGGGAGAAGGGGGCACGGTCGCAAAGACGGTGGTAACCGCATCGCCGGGCGCTCTCAGACGCGCTTCTGCGCCTGTCTGGAACGCTCTTCCTTCCGATGTCAGGAAGCCACTGTGGAGCTGTGCACTCTCGATAAAAAAAAAATCATTTTCAGAAGTGACCTGCCACACAAATGATAGCTCGTTGTGTTGAAAAAAGATTAACACGACCACGGCGGAGAACACGCAAACTCCAAATATGGAGCGGGCATCACAGTCCGGATCGAACCCACGGACCTCCTGCGTACCAGGCGAGGTAGTTAACATCTCGCCAACCGTGGTACCCAAAAGATCACGGGGGCCTTGGCAATTACCTTCGCAGCTGGCGAATCTACCGATGACCGACGGCGTTTGATCGTTTAAAAACACAATCTAGCATAACGCCACCACTGCTCACGCCCATTTAATAAGCGGATATTCTGTGCGTTTGTACCTACGGTATATTTCAAGCTTCGCCTGAAGAAATCCTCCTAGATTGCTCTATAAATGTGCATTTAATAGAGTCAATTTTTTTTCCGATGGGAGTTCATGCAAACAAGGACAACGTAAAAAAAAGATAAAATCTTTCACCCGACAATTGGGCAATTTGATTAGCTGGCTCCAGTACTGCTTATCTGCTTGATCAGTCAGAACAGTCTGGCATGATGCCAATTGAAAGGTGCATCTTATATGCACCTCTCTGATCAACTCTTAGACTGGCTCAACATAGCAATGTAGAATTTCCACTATTAGCTCAGGTTAGCCAACAGCCATACAGGCCACCGTAATGCTCAATCGGACTATCTCCGTCTCAAAACAAAAGCTACACAGCACCTGTGAAAGCAAGAGAAGCCAATGATTGGTGCGGCTGTAAGGCAGACCTTAACATTATATTTTGCCATGGTTTCCGATTTCACTTTCGGGTTGTTAACCTAGCAAGCGCAATACGAAAACAAAAAGTGGCACTCAATATGAATTAAGAGTCATTCAGTCGTTCGGTCTTCGAGCCATTCTTATTGCGCAAGGCTATCACCACCTCCAATTGGCACGGTTGGCTACGTACGGTGCGAAAGAAGTTCAACATACATATGTATATATGTATGTTGAACTTTCTTCGCACCAGACGTGATTAATCGGAGGTGCGGGGGCGCAGGAAAACCAACGCAACACAAAAAATTCGTACATATGATGGAAGGCGCTGCTGTGTTGTACAGACAGAGTCTGCGGTAGTTTCCCATCAGCGTCCGCGGTGCAATCCCAATCGAGTCATCCGCATTTCATTTTTCAAATTCGGCAACGCCGTGACGCCGGCAGCCCCATGGCCGAGCCCTCTTCGAATGACGTCACGGGATCTTTTAAACGCCCGGCAGACGCGAACCGCGCACTTCTGCCCCAAGCGGTCACCGCGAGCCCACGCCCACGCCCGCGCCCGCGCGCGCGCGCGTTTGTTACCTGTCCATCGGTGGCACGACCATGGGCGGCGGGAGTCCCGGCATGTGCGGCGGCATGAACCCTGCGAACGCACGACACGCGACGAGGGATCGGGCGTCACTACGGCGGGCCACTCCGCCGCTGCGGCGACGCCGGCGACGCTCCTCAAAGAGGCGCGCGCTCCGAAGCGCGCCGAGCGAGCGATTACCCCCCCGGCAACAAACGGCGCCCGTCGGAGCCGCGGCAGACAAGCGGGGGTTACCGCGTTCCTTCAGTATGCGTGGGGTGAAGATGGACGACGATGGCAAAAAGGGAGGGATTTTTCCAAAGTGTGGCAACGCGAGGGAAATAATCAGAAGGGGAAGTGTCGCGACCGGCTGAACAAAGCGCGGATCGCGACGACAACGAATGACGGAGATGGGCTTTTAGGACAGTTTATGACACAGCGGTTAAGCACACAGCGGTTAAGCACACCGCACTACGAAACCCGGCGGCCTGAGTCACGATTCCTGGACCACAACCAACGTCAGTGGCGGGTGACATCCTAAGCGGTCCTTCACCAGCGCACACTATGCAGCGGGGAAAAATGGTCAAACGATGCCTCGAACTGCTTAAGCATGCAAACTCTGGATGGGGGGGGGGGGTTTCAAGCTTCTAGGTCTCATCAGCAGAGTCAAGCTTGCTAAATGAGCGCAGCCGGATTGGCGGAAGTTACCGGCAAGAGAATTCCGCATGCCGAGGACGGAGAAAGGCTAAACTGGCCCACGGTTTGCTCGCTTGAACAAACACTGCCGGCGGATAACATCGTCCTGGAAGGCCGACAATAGGCCCGCCGATGAGGACAACCAAAATATTTTATATGCAGGTGGAGATACAGAAACGGACGTCAACTTATAAATACGTTTTAATGATCCATACTCTTGGTTCTATTCGGTAAAGTCACGTAGGAAAAAATTTAATAACAAAAATCACGACGTTTCGGCCACAACACAAGCTGTCATGAGGACAGCACGGTCCCTTCACCTGATGAAGGCCACTTGTGTTGTGGCCGAAACGTCGTGATTTTTTATATTTTATTTTTTACCTACGTGACTTTACCGAATAGAACCAAAGAGTTTGGATCCTTGCAGTCACGAAAGCTTCAAATCTAGAACGTTTTAATGAGTAGATGGTGACGTGGCCTCATCAATGACTTGAGGCGGCAGTGACTCGGTGGACGAATTTTTTTTGTTCACGCGCTGTGCATCGGACCGATCGCGGCGATGAGCGCGCAGCGGAGCGGAGAAACTTAAAAGTGACAAGAGCCGGGGAAAGACGGTCGGTTGAGGGATTAACGCTCTTAAGATTAAAAGCGCTCTTTTAAAACATCAAGAGGCCCAAGCAAAGTGCTCCACCCCATCATCGCATCGCTTGTTTGTGAAGCAGCCCTCTCTGGAATGTACAATTTGAAAGTAGTTTTGTTAATTGATTAAACGCCCATTGCAGCCGAGAACTTGAATTCTTAGCAAAAACTCAATTTGACGCAATTTTGAGTGAGCGATCGAGACAATTGTTGTAAGTGCCGCTTTTAGCTCGCGGACCAAATTAGGTGAAAATTTTAAACCTAAGTGTTTTTTTTTCCATCGACTAAAATTTATTCCGATACTCAAGAAAAGTGGATCGAGTATTAATTACGCACGCAAATCATATGCTGCTACATTCAGGCCGACTCAACAAACTAACGCTGTGCATCAAGACGGACAATCAATTCTTCTGGGGTCGAATCGTAACCCTGAAATCATCCAACCGTTTGGCTACCGGCAGAGATTAATGTGGTGGAGTCAGACAATGTGGCGGAGTTCCTTGCGAGTCCCATGGTGAGGAGCTGTCAATTGAGGATCCGAGGCAGCTGGAGAAAAACAACGACCTCAGGAAGAGGCCGATGAAACGATGCCACCGCCACCACCAACGGCAACTGGCAATCGCTGCTACGAGGAGCTGTACAAGGGGCGGAAGAAGAATGCTGCCCAGCTGTCTTTGGGCAGATTTTGTTTTTTAAATGCTCTGCGATCAGGCAAGAAGGTCCAGAGAGAAGCCCAGAAGAGAGGCAAGCTTCCCCTCTGGTGAACATCCCCGTGGGCTCTAGCTTCATCATCTGCATAACGCCACCACTGCTCACCCCACATGGCCTCGATCAGCGAGCTCAAACTCTGGCAAGTTTTACCAAACTATTTGTATTTATTATGAGTTAAATGTATAGTAACTTATAATCACACGTATTTTTGTGCACTATCAATCACGCAAGTTTTTTTTTTCTCACGTAAAAGTCAGCGAGCAATGCAACCCCTGATTTTATGACGTAATGCCTGCGGGAAATTAGTTCGCTTTGAGCAATTTCGAATTAAGTAGCATTTCCCCAGGAAACGCAACCCTCATGCATAGCGGGGGATCCCTGCATTGTAATCAAACATCCAGTTCTCATAAAAGGGGAAAACGATGGTGATGTTAACCACCCGACCAATGGCACGTGTGTCTTTACACATTGAGTGGTCGATAGGTCCGTGGCCTGACACGTCAGGAGTCATGCTATAAACCAAGAGAAAATGTAAAAATTATTCTGAGCAGAGCTCAAATTGTGACAGATGTTTTATCGTGTCTCGCGTGCAAGGTAGCTAATGCAGGCAAAAATGTAATGATGTGAGACAAATACTAATGATGGAAATTATATATTTTTTTAAACATCGAACTCTTGGTGAAAACACACACTCATCCGGACCAAGTGCCTCTCACGTGTTGCCATGGCTATGGGGGGGGTCACTCGCACGGACGCTGATTTTGCTCGTGACCGCAAAGTGACACGCGCTGCGTTGAGAAAGAGCACAAGGTGTTCTCTTCCCGGCAGCAACCGAAAGCCTCGGAACATCAACAATGGACCAAGTGCACTGCTCTTGCAGTGCACAATACGCAACGCACAAAAGCATCGTCCAAAAGTCTTTACGCGCGCGAAGCCGGGGGAGGACTTGCCGACAAAAAACAACAAAACAAAAAAAAAAAGGGCTCGCGTCCCTCCGCACCCCTAACGTCGTTGTGCCCCATCTCACGCCAACAAGACATTTACCTGGCAGTGCAAATTCACGGCCGCGACTGTGATGCTCCCGCAGCAATTAGCGCACGCACAGCCGAGCCCACAATGCCGCCCCCCCCCGCCCCCCCCGCCCCCCCCCCCCCCCCCCTGCGCGCGCGCGCGCGCCCACAGGGGCGGCCACCTGCTCGTAAAGACCCAGCGATTTTCCAATGAGCTGCTTTCACCTCGTTAAAATGCGCGCGCATTTCAGACCCTCGTTCCGTAAATGCCACTTCGTGCGGAAGCCATCATTGGTCATTACGCACATGTTTACTCTGTGTACGCACGGGTAGGACAAAATAAAAAAATATATATACGGACAAAGATTACCCCCCCCACCCCCCCCCATAGCCTTAACAGACTGTTGGGGCGAGTGCTGCTCGCGAGCCACCTTACGAAGGCCGGAACGGCACACGAGGGAGTGGGTGGCCAGCACCGCATCCGGCGGCCTTTGCCTCTCCAGTGTCAATATTTACACACCGCACCAGGTATGCATTTGAGGCCGAGTCGACCTGGGGGAGGCCCAGAAACGGTTCAAATAATCGTGACTAGTGTTGACCGTAAGCGGGAGTCGAACCCCGGCTGCCGGGTTCGTAGCGCAGCGACGCTCACCACTGCCCCACCTACGTGCACGCATGCACGCAAGAGTGCAGGGTCTCATTATAAAGCTGGAAGCCACGGATGCAACATTTGTTTGTTAGTTTAACACGTAGGCTTTCGCGACCAATATCATCCACAATAGAGGTTTTTTTTGGGTTATATCGCGACCATACCCAAAAAAACCTCTATTATGAACAATTTTTTAGTTGGTTCAAATCGAGCATGGAAAAAAAAGCGTGAAAGATGTATTCGGAAGCCAGCTACACATTGGATATTGGATATGTAGCGGTGGCCGGGAGGGGGCTCGGTAGGCGGGGGGGGGGGCTCAGGGGGATCAGAGAGCAGAGCCGGCACCGCTGACACAGCCTGACACTCCTGGCTTCGATTCCAGGCAAGCAACCCGTGTTTGAATCGGTTTATCAAAGTATGTATGAACGTTGAACCTATTTCGCACCGTACACAGCCAACCGTGGCAATCGGAGGCTTTCAACTTGGTCGCCACTAACGGCACAGATTTAACCTCAACAACAACAAAAATCTATTTAACCAGGTAAGGCCCACTGAGCTATGTAGCTCTTTTTCAGAAGCGACCCGGCCGCAAATGATAGCTCACCAAAGTGGCTTGTCACGCGGAAATTTATGGCAGCCAAATACTCTAAACGCATGTTTCTAAATATGGAGGGGGGAAAACCGGAGGACCGGGAGAAAAATCCACGCGGCCGCGGGGAGAGAGAGACACGTAAACTCCAAATATACAGCAGCAGGTGTCAGGGTCGGGTTCGAACCCACGACCTCCTGCGTACCAGGCGAAGTAGTTAACATCTCCTAGCCACAGTGATGATGATGATGGGAGAGAGAGACGCAAACTCCAAATATACAGCAGGCGTCAGGGTCAGGATCGAACCCCGACCTCCTGAATACGAGGCGAGGTCGCTAACATTTCCCCCAGCCGCCACGGCACCCCCCCCCCCCCCCCCCCCAAAAAAAACCCCGTCGCATCCAACTTTGTCCCGCAACTGAACTTGGCTACATCTCTAAACTGCGATGCAAGTTTGCTCGCGCAGCTAAAGAGCGGTGCGCTGCAGAAGTGAACCCAATGAGCAGTTAATTATTTGTACATCACGAGGACTCAACTGCCATCGGTCGATTCCAAAGATGGCGAATTTGTTGGACTAACCACTGGAGCATGATACCACGTGACAAGAGTATAACGCACGCCTGTGTGTTGTGCGTAGCAATGGTCGAATCACCGTGGACCAGGAGCGGATGAGTTCAGCTCATGTGCAAGCGAAAGGAGGGATTTCTGCATCGCGCAACTGTGACAGATGGTGATGTCTAGGGGGCGGTCTTCATCCAGCGGTGGATTGATCGTGGCTGAT